GACACTCCGACCACCTAACGTAATTTCTCACTCAGTCACCTTTCTCTGCGTCCTGTTAGTGGCCTAGACGGACTTGCGTCACTAGAAACCGCACCTCAAGGACCACACTTTGTTTCGTCAGTGGCTTCTGAGCCCCAGCGTCTCATCCACTCAAAATATTCACTGGAGTGTCCCCATACACACACAAATGCACATACATACAAACCCCATGCACTTCCCAATCCCCTTTACCCACAAACTTCCCAAAACCAGTGGCATTCTACTGCTCTCTATTGGTTGGGGCTGATCAGACCCCTGGCTCCCACAAAATAAACTGTGGAGCTTACCTTTCCACTGGGTACCCAGCCCGAGTTTGCCAAACTGCGGGAGGCAGTGGTAGACAGGAGTGCCTGGTGTGCTCTGGTCCAGGGGGTCATGAAGAGTCGGACACGACTAAATGACTAAACAACAACAACATGTTTTTTAGCCACATGTGTTTCTTGTAAACAAATTATATCAAAAATTTTCTGAATTAACAAATGTTCAATTTTATTTCTTTTTACTTTATTATTAAGTCCATTCACATTCTATGATAGTACTTTCACTGTCATTTCAAATTCCAATTAAAATAATATATTTTTATTTTTAAGATTGGGATTCTTCTTCCTCCACTTTTTCCTCCTCTTTTTCCTCATCTATTTGTGGTTTGTCCTCTCAAATCATTCTTGGGCAAGGTGATTGAGCGGGTGGTTGCTGAACAACTCCAAGCACGCCTGGAGGATGTGGACCATTTGGATCCCTTCCAGTCGGGATTCAGGCCTCACCATGGGACTGAAACTGCCTTGGTCTCTGTGATGGCCTGGGATTCCGATTCAGAGGCTGAACCGGAGGAATCCCAGCCTGCACAGGAGTCCCCGCCTCCAGGGCCGGCTGAACTGGGGCAGGGCCTTGTTTCTGAAGTGGCTACACCTGTGCCGGATCCTCAGGAGCAGGCACCAGGTGAGTCCACTCTGGCTCCGGAGGCGATTGAGGACACATTGCCTACAGGTGCGCCTCTCCCAGCCCTGTCAGGGGAAGGTGAGTCTCCCCCTGGGTCCAGTAACCCTCCAGCCTCTCCTGAGCTGCAGAGGCTCAGGGCAGAGAGGCGGAGGGAACTGGTTTCTCCCAGGAGGAGTACTCGCCTTAAGGCCAGGAGAGGCGGGTCTCCTGGGGGCCGGGACTGCCCCTGGCCTCAGAGAAGATAAAGGCCAGTCAGCCCGGTCCCAGGTTGCGGGAGCAACGTCGTTGAAGAGCTGTTTTGGCCAGCACCCAGTCCTGTTCCTCCAGAGTTCCTGTCCTTGCCCGGCTCCTCGCTTTGGACCCCGCTTCACCCGTGGAGGACTGTCTTCCGACCCTCGACTCAGGTCCTGGACCTTGCCCCACAGTAACCTCCCCCCGGGACCAGCACAGTCGCGCTGGTCGATGATCTCCGGTGGGCTAGGGATAAAGGAGAGAGCTGTTTCCTAGTTCTGCTGGATCTCTCAGCGGCGTTTGATACCATCGACCATAACATCCTTCTGGACCGTCTAGGGGGGCTGGGAGCTGTGGGCACTGTTATACAGTAGTTCCGCTCCTTTCTCCTGGGCCGTGTTCAGAAAGTGGTGGTGGGGGATGAGTGTTCAGACCCCTGGGCTCTCACTTGTGGGGTGCCTCAGGGTTCTATCCTCTCCCCCATGCTTTTTAACATCTACATGAAGCCACTGGGAGAGATCATCAGGGAGTTTGGGCTGGGTGTTCATCAGTATGCGGATGATACCCAGCTCTACCTCTCTTTTATTCAGAGCCAGTGAAAGTGGTGAAGGTCCTGTGTGAGTGCCTGGAGGCAGTTGGAGGATGGATAGTGGCTAATGGATTGAGATTGAATCCTGACAAGACAGAAGTATTGTTTTGGGGGGACAGGGGGTGGGCAGGTATGGAGGACTCCCTGGTAATGAATGGGATAACTATGCCTCTGAAGGACCAGGTGCACAGCCTGGGAGTCATTTTGGACTCACAGATGTCTATGAAGGCACAGGTTTATTCTGTGTCCAGGGCAGCTGTCTGCTAGCTCCACCTGGTACGCAGGATGAGACCCTCCCTGCCCGCGGACTGTCTTGCCAGAGAGGTGCATGCTCTAGTTATCTCCCGCTTGAACTACTGCAATGTGCTCTATGTGGGGCTACCTTTGAAGGTGACCTGGAAACTACAACTAATCCATAATTCGACAGCCAAACTGGTGACTGGGAGTGGCCACTGAGACCACATAACACTGGTCCTGAAAGACCTACATTGGCCCCCAGTGCATTTCTGGGCACAATTCAAAGTGTTTCTGACCTTGAAAGCCCCAAATAGCCTTGACCCAGTATACCTGAAGGAGCATCTCCACTCCCATCGTTCTACCCAGACACTGAGGTCCAGCGCTGAGGGGCTTCTGGCAGTTCCCTCATTGCGAGAAACGAAGTTACAGGGAACCAGGCCTTCTCGGTGGTGGCACCCACCCTGTGGAATGCCCTCCCACGCGAAGCCCGTTCTGGATCCACATGTCCTTCCACAGTGGGGACATAGGTTTCCGGGCGGGAGCTGATCACGGTGAGGGTTTGCCAAGCATTTCTTCCTCTTACCCAGCCAGATTGGCGGGGTATAAATAATAAATTATCATTGTTATTATTATTACCATTTGTGGCTCCATGAAAGGGTCTGATGGGAGGGCAGCACAGTGCTTATGATCAGCAATGCAACTATGATATAACAGCCCTGGGAATCTGAGGAGTCTGCTGGTTCATTTAGGCCAACGGCTCATTGTCATTCCTCATGCTATTCTCACAGTGGACAACCCAATGTCTCCATCGAAAGCCCTGACTGGACCTGAGCACAACGGCCCTCTCCCCTGTGGAGGCAGAGCAGGACTTTGGGGGCTTGTAGCCTTTTCAAGCTTTATGCACCCCAGTCCTTTGAGAAGGTGTGAGCAGCTCCCTTGGGACCTCCGGTCCTGCTTCTCTAGTTTCCCACTGTGAGCCACAGGGTGTTGGACTAGTTGGGCCTTTGGTCGGATCCAGGTGCAGGTCTCTCTCCGGAGGTCCTGTGCACAAATTTCAGGCCAAACTCTGCCCCCCCTTGATTTATGCCAAATGTTAGAGCAGCAATGCAAACATGTTTTCCTCCAGCTCTGCAGCTGCTGCTTGAGCCATTCAAGACGCCAGAAAGTTATCTAGGTGAGATTTCTTCCACTTATAATTATCAAAATCATAGTGATTTCATCTTCTAAAAGCCCAAGAGATGTTTCTGGAGGTTGCATCAGAAGCACCAACAGCATGACATTATAAATTGTACCGTGAGTGAAAAAGAAAAAGTTCTTGCAGATAGTATTTCCTGTGTTGGAGACAGAGTGAGTCAAGATTTGGAGCAGGTGAAGGGCGGGGGGGGGGAGGGAAGCCAGAGCTGAGACCCACCCACCCCAGGAAAGCCACTGCAGATTTGGTCTTGCGAGAGTCTTGTGATTCTCCTGCTTGGCTGGGTCAGGAGGTAAGAGGAGCCACACACAACAGGTGTGAAGGAGGCAGAGCCAGGATGAGATCCCTGCTGCTCCTGCTGCTAATTTGCTCCCAAGGAGTCTGTGTGAAGCAGAAGGCAAAATGCCCCTTGAATCTGATCAGAGATGAAATTGATGCTCGCAATTACTACCAGCCTGGAGACTTCCTCATTGGTGGAATCGTATCTCCAAAATAATTTTTAGAATATGATCCCTATGTCTTTTCCCAGACACCCTTCACCAGGATTGTGGAGTAAGTAATTCTTTACAGAGGGATGTCAAAATCCTTAAGCATCCCTGCAGAATGGCAGATGAAGGTGATTGACTATATGGAACTGGCGGAAATGACTGGCAGAATCCGAGACCAGGGAGAAGAGTTGGTGGAAGAAGATTGGAAGAAGTTTAAAGACTATTTGCAGAAATACTGTAAAATTAATGAATGTTAAAATGATGTTGGACTGAAAATAAGTGGTTTTGGTAATAAGGTTAATAAGAATATGTAAATATTGATAGTTATATGGATGAAAATATATAGTTATAATAGGTTAAGATACAGAGTAAAGATAAATGAAAGAGGGTAAGGATTTGCTGAAAGGATTTTGTAAACGGGAATATAAAAAGGGGAGGTGTGAGGAAGTCAGGGAAGTAAGGAAATGAAATGTAAGGTATGGAAAGATCGATGTGTTTTTTAAGTGTTTTTTTATCTTTTTTCTGTAATTTGTATTTTTTCTTTTTTATTTCTTTTTCTTTTTCTTTTCTTTTTATCTATGTGTGGGGGTGCAACAGAAAAATAGCACCCTTGTGCTTAGGTTTTTCATCTGGCACGCCAGTGGCTAAAGTCATACTGCTCCCTGCAGACGCCACAACTCCTACAAATCCCCTCTTAATTGCTGCTGCAATGCCTCTCACAGCTCAGCGCCCTACATTAAAAATGACACTGGGTGGACGTGAGGTAGAGGGGGTTCCAGATACAGGGGCAGATGTTACTGTGATTGCTAAACAAGACTGGCCTCCCGAATGGCCCACAAAGGCAGCTGCGCAGGTTTTGGGTGTCGGGGGAGAAGCGCCAGCCTGTCAAAGCCTCCACCCAATTGATATCCTTGTGGCTGCACAGGACATATCAGTGGAATTATTAAGAGACCTTACATCTGCCCTGACAGATTTTGGACTGTGTATTGCCCCAGATAAGGTTCAGCAAACTTTGCCTATGTTATATCTTGGACATAAATTGACACAACAAGCTGCCATTCCGGTTGTTCCCCAATTGTCTTTTCCTGCCCGCCTACGGCTGGTTGACCTTCAACAACTTTTGGGACACCTGAATTGGATAAAGAATTACCTTAATCTGCCTACTAGCACCTTGTCACCATTGTTTTCTGCCTTACAAGGACACAAACTACCCGGAGAAGTCATCCCAGTTACAGAAGAAATGCTACAAGCCTTACAACAGGTTAATGCTTTATTAAGAGACCGAATGGTGGATCGCATAGACACTCTGCACAATGTGCAGTTATCCTTGGCAATTTTTTCCACACCTTTGCTGCCTACAGCCATTCTCTACTCACAGAAATCGGCTGCCCCCTCGGGTGTCAACATTGTGGAATGGATCCACCTTCCGCATACTCCACCGCGTAACATTTATTCCTCTCCAGCGGCTGTAATGGATTTGGGAATATACACCGGCTGAGATTCATTTTCGAAAAGCAGAGCCTTTGGCTCGCCCTTTGTATCTTACAGACAGCTACCTGATCCAACATGGCATGGTCCTGTGCCACTCATCTCCTGGGGACGCGGCTACGCGGCAGTGGACCTGGATGGACGGCCTACCTGGTTACCAGCGCGCTGTGTGCGACCCTGGCGAGCTTCTGCCTCGGAAGTGAAAGCAGCAACGAGCCATACTTCACCCTCTCTGGCGGACGTCGCCTTCCTGCAGCCCTGAGTCCCTACTGCACTTGGAGACATCGCCATCTGACCCTGAACGTGCCGTGGTTGGAATCATCTGTAACAGCGATACCAGTCTTTCCTGCAAAACTACCAAACCATCTTGTACCTTACTCTTTGCAAGCTCCACGACGCTTTTGGAACCGCACAATAAGGTTCCCTTATGGTTTTGCCGCTGCCTGCTTAGGAAACTCTCCTGGCTATGAAGGATGCCCGCAATATACAGGTCTGGCATGGGTTTTGCCGCCCCGTGATAGTACCCCTATTTGTGTTTCCACCACAAATTGGGAATGGTCTTTCAAACATTCCCTGTCACCAATTAACAAAGCCTATATTGGTCAATTGGGATCATGTGTCTGCCACACTGGTTGTTGGACTAAACCAGGTTTTTGGTTTCTGAAAAAAGGAAATGTTGTCACCCTCTTTCACAGGGGCTGTGAAGAAGTAGCAGTTGCTGTCCTTTTCCCTTATAACCCATATTGCCCACCTGCACAGCTCATCTGGTTCCTGCAACATTGGCCGAAACAAAAAAATTCTACCGGCTGGCTGCATCCACAGCACTTTCGAAGACATCGACGCTCAGCTAGCCATGATCCCAGCATTCTGTCTAAAACTAATCGTTCAGAGGACTATCATGCCCTCTGGACTGATAATACCTTTGTAAAAGACATGGCTCAATTGTCAAAGATTTTGAATTATACTGATTGTTGGATTTGCATGCACATTCCTCCGCAGGCTCGACGCTCTGGCATATTGCTACATGGTATCCCCATTAATGATTCTTTTAAGATAAGTAATAATCTCAAGATTAACCGCACACGTTTTCCACCAGTGGTATTGACCTTGTTAGAACCAGCAGATAGGTGTTTTAAGTTTAAACATAACACATCTGTATTTCTAGGGAACTACCCTAATTGTGCTTGGACTTATGAATATGTCAATACCTCCTCTTGTTTCTTGAACACAACCACACGCAGTGGAAGGCCACCAGTAGTTATAGGAACTGTTACCTACCGTATGACATGGGGGCAATATGTCATGTGCAATGATTTTGATGCATGGATACAATGGATGAAAAGAAGTAGTAAGCCATCCATGGTCTTACAAAATGATCTTTGGCTTTTCTGCGGACGTAAAGCCTATAAGGAAATTCCTAAAAGTTTTTCAGGAATTTGCACCCTTGGTATTGTAGTTCCATTGATTTATAAGTTAGATAATATATCCTCGCTCGGCTTCGCAACAAGAGAGATGTTAATGCTCCTATAGTTCATTATGCTGAAACTGCAATTGCTAGGGCTGCCCTGCCCCCTCTTGGTGTTGCCATGAATTACAGGGACCTCCACAGACTCTCCAACTGGACAGAAGGGCTATTCAATGCAACTATAAAAGCCTTGAAAGTAATTAATCAAGAAATGTCCAATATTCGTGAGGTTACCCTGCAAAATCGCTATGCTTTGGACACCGTTTTGGCCTCCAAGGGAGGGGTGTGTGGGTTAGTGTTGTCACACTGCTGTATGTATATAAAAGATTATAATCTTAGCATTTCCACAACTATTAATGAAATGGAAGCCATGGTTAAACAAAATCCGATCTCACATCCTCCCATTCCTGACCCTTGGGAATGGCTTTTTTCCTGGCTCCCCGATGGATTTTGGTTTCGTCAGTTATTGCTAATAGGCTTAGGACTGGTTATAGGATTTGTGTGTATTTGTTGTTGCATACAATGTGTTCCCTCGCTGATCACCCAATGTATGGGGTGGTGGTCTTCACGACGCACTTCCTTAGGTGTCCCCCGCAGAGAATATGTTGCCAGATATACGCGCTTTCGCAATGAAATTTATGACTCTGATTAAATAATATAAAGAAGGAAGGCATGTGGGGGTGCAACAGAAAAATAGCACCCTTGTGCAAGAGGAAACATCTGCTGACTTGTTCCCCCCACCCGCCTGGGTCACTGACGAGCTGCTAAACCACAAAGCTTACGCAGCTGTCATGCTGTCTGGAGTTATGTCCTGGTAGAGAATAGTTATTCTAAGAAATGCAAACCCTAGCTGTTTTCCACCCGAGTGCTACACGTGTATATGCAACATGATGTAATGTGCGCAAGGCTAATAAACATGCAAGGCTGCTGGGAGGGAGAGCTCCCTCCTTGCTTAAACCTTCACCCATGACTCCTCGTCATTTTCCTCCGCACCTGGTGGGCTGGTTCCCCGACATCTATGTAATCTTTTCTTTGAAACTTTAATAAATATCATTTTTTTAAAAAAAATCCTTAAGCATCCCTGGTCCCTATCTCTGAAGGAGAGAGCCCCTTTCCCAAGATTGAGGAGTCTGGGGTCCTCCAGAGATCACTGGACTACAGCTCCCCTCTTGCCTAACTGACCCTTGGCCTTGATGGTTGGAGATGATGGGAGTTGAAGTCCAGTAAAAGATTTCCCCCAAAGCCTCTCCCAGTTCCTTGCATCTTCCCTAGTAAAATACTCTCCCTCTCGTGCTACTGGGTTGCTTTTGGAGCTTGGTGACACAAGAATGCAAGAGAATCTGGTCAGGGATCAAAGGGATCCCCTGAATTTTCCCACCTGCAGGAAGGAGGTGAGGCTGGCATGAAACTCAGGCAGTATTCAAGGTGCCAAGATTTGATTTATTACTATTCTATTGGTACAATTTATAAACTGCCTAGTCAGAATTGCTTTTAAGGGATTCAGTTTTGAGAACGAAATGTTAAGATCCTGGGTGACGTTTGTTGGCTGAAGAGAGGGAAAGATATGCTTTCTACAAAATGAAGAAATAAAACAATAAAAGCCAGGAGACTCCCATGCTATGGAGTCAGAGCTCTTAAACATGAGCAATTCTTCTTCTTCTTCTTCTTCTTCTTCTTCTTCTCCTCCTCCTCCTCCTCCTCCTCGGTAAAGATGTTTTGAGGTCCTGGACTCAAATTGCTCCTAACTAACCCACTGGTCACCCTGGACAAACCCCCCCCCCACTTGACCCCCATTTTTCCTTCTGAATAACTGCTGGGGAATGTGCACAGCCCCCCTTTGAAGGAGCCAAACCCCTGAGGCAAAAGCACAGGCAAAACATTTGCAGCAACTTCCCAGTATTTCACAAATTTGGGGGGAGGGAGATTCATTTTCTTACTCTGTTTTATTCTCTGGAGTACCTCTAGACTCCTGGATTGGAGAACAAATCTCCAAATCTTTATTGTATAATAGTCAGGAAAGGGTTGGATACAAATGCAATAAGATAATTGAATAGAGACTAATCTTTGTGGATAATATTTTGTTATCATTCACCTGTGAATAGGGTTTGAGTCTTTTAAATTGGTCCATTCATTGCAGCGACACATTTGCGTTCTACTGGCACATCTTCTCCTTCCTGTTCACCATCCAGGAGATCAACCGGGATCTCAGGCTCCTACCCAACATCACCCTTGGCTACAACCTCTATGAGAACTATTTTGATGCCAGGATGACTTCAGATGCCATGCTAGAGCTGCTAGCAGGCAGCGGAAGAAACATTCCCAATTATCGCTGCGGAGAAGAGAATCCCCTTCTGGCTGTTCTTGGAAGGAGTGATTCTGACATCTCAAAGGAGATTTCCACCATGTCAGGCATCTACAAAATCCCACAGGTATGAATGGGACAGAGGGCATGGAGGGGCACAGGAGGAACCTCTACTTTCTCCTGGGGGGAGTTAAGGGGGGAAACCCTGAGCTATGTGCTGGCCATCCGGCCAAGGCTTCTCCCACCTGCCTTGCCCCACCTTCCAGCCCTGAGCTGCTGCCATGGACATGATCTGCATGTGTCTTTTAGTGAACTGAATCGAGAGAAAGATCATGAGTCATGCGGTGGGGAGACTGGGTGCATGAATTCAGGAGTGCTCAGTTCATTTCTGGTTGCTGGTTTGTTAAGGGTATTAATATTGTTCCATAGATTATACATACTGTGGTATTTTGTTAATCTTATAAAGTTACTTTTGTTGAAATTGTGCTGTTTAGCTTATGAGTAGTTTTCTTAATAGTTTTTTTATGGAGCGTAAATGCTTAACTGATGGTTTGTAAATTATTCTATATGAATTATGTTGTATTTGTGATGTTCTATCACATTTTTGCTGTTCATGAGCAGCTTTGTGCAGGCTGCTGCTGCTGCTGCACCGTGGGGGTTGAGGAAGGCCGCTCCCTCCTGTAGCCCCACTCCACCAGGCCTAGGGGGCGGGGCCCACACTCGCCACTGCTACAGTTTTAAGGACACTGGTGCTGCTGCAGCAAATGTTAAAAATGTTTTTATATATTTTAAAGGGTTTTAAAGGGGTTTTTACTTTTTACTTTGTTGTACCACCGTGAACGGTGGTTTGTATTGATGTATTTTTATTTTGTTCCGTTTTATGTTGGTTTGGGGTTGGATAGTGAGTGGGGTGGGGATTTGTTTTGTTTTGGTACAATTGTTTTTGGTTTGATTTGTTTTCCTATTTTGTAAATGGAGGTTGGTTTGAGGCTTGGGATTGCTACCGTGGTGGGGCGAGGGAGGTATGGCGGTGGGGGCAGATGTCATAGGCGAAGGGGATCGAGATACGGATACGCTCGTACCCCTTCCAATCTGCGCCCCATCCCAAGGGACGAGGGTAGGGTGAGCAAGGATTACTCACCTCCGTCACTGGTGCTGTGCAATGCCAGGTCTATAGGCAATAAAACCGTCACCCTGCGAGATTTCTTTATCTCGCAGGGGGTCGACCTGGCTTGCGTGACGGAGACCTGGGTGCACGAAGGAGAAACAGTTACCTTACGAGAGATGGCACCCCCGGGTTTCTCCGTCCTCCACCAGTCGCGGACTGTGGGCCGGGGGGGAGGGGTGGCATTATTAATCCGGGAAGATTGTCCTTTCAGGGCTCTACCATCGCCATCGATCCCTGGCATTGAATGTGTTGGCCTAGTGTGGGGCTC